AAAGTGCTTGCCAACTGTGAGGACCTCTTCTCTTCCTTTTCTTTTTCTTCAAAATAATTTATTTAACTTGATTTTATATGCATTGGTGTGAAGGTATCATATCAGATCCCCTAGAAATGTAGTTACAGAGAGATATGGGCAACCATGGGGTTGCTGGGACTTGAACCTGGGCCCTCTGGAAGAACAGTCAAGTGCTCTTAATCACTGAGCCATCTCTCCAGTCCCTCTCTCCCTCCCTCTCTCCCTCCCTCCCTCCCTACTTCCCTTCCTTACTTTCTTAAATCAAAGGTGGTTAACCCAGCAAGGACTCATATCTAATGAGCCTTCCCTGTCCCCTTGGCATAGATTAGCCAATCATGTAGGATTGTGAAGTTGAGCTTCACCAGTTGGATGAGATGCAGTCACAACCCACGTCAGGGATAAAATACTGGAGCCACATTGGCCCTGGTGTGTAGCTAGCCCAATTTGGCTTTTGGTAACCCTTTTTACAATAAGAATTGACTTGCTGTGATGCTGCTGCCTGTGTGTGCGTTCCTTTGCACAGCACCAATGTTATTCCTAACATCAGCCAAGCCTGATGACCCAAGATAGAATCAGAACACATGTAAGAAAAAGCTGCATGAAGTGATGAGCATTTGTAGTAAGGACTTCTACTGAGAGATGGGAGGCAAAGACTGTAGAGTCATCATCTTCAGGCCTTCAGAGTAGCTCATGAGTTACCAAGGAGCCTGAGTTATGCAGGATGGCAGAAATAAGAGAGATTCCACCTCAATAAGGTGGAAAGGGCAGAATTCCCCCAAATTGTCTTCTGGGCTCCACATATAGGACATGCCATTTGTGTGCCTCCCCATAAATGAATGAATGAATGAACGACTCAGTAAATAAATAGATGGTTAGTGTGAGGTGAGCCTGAGCCCAGATATGATGCCTCAATGTAACCAATATCCCTTTGTTTGAAGGAATGAAATAAGTCAGTCATGAGAAAACAGCTGTCCATGATATAGTGTATGAGTGTTAAATCCTTAATTCAAGTTCACTTGGACTTTTGAGCCCAGGTCTGCTCTTGTGGGCCTCCTGTTGTAACTGTGGGAGGGAGACTCTGGCAGGGGAAGAACTGAGCTTCTCCAGGGCAAGCCCCCTTAGCCGAATGTCTCAAATCTTGCTTCTGGAAAAACAGATTCTCTCTGTGGAAAACAAAGCTAATAGCATCACAAATTCCTGTTTGTCCCTTAAGACCTTCGTTCATCCTCCCAAAGGGTAGTGAGACCTCTTTTTGAATAGTTATTCTACTTTCTCAGACATGGGTCCAAGGAAACCACAACGACTTTTGGTTGCTCAAGAACAAGCAGCGAGGTGGGAGGGGAGAGGGAGCTAGGAGAATGAGAAGGGGAGAAGTGGAGGGGTGAGGGGGACATGAGGGAGCAGGAAGGTTGAGTTGGGGGAAGAATAGAGGAGAGCAAGATAAGAGATAGCAAAATAGACACAGACATTATAGGTTTAAAGAGAAATCAGGCACTAGGGAAATGTCTGGAGATTACAAAGATGACACCAACTAACAATCTAAGCAACAGAGGAGAGGCTACCTTAAATGCCCTCTCCTGATAATGAGATTGATGACTGACTTATATGCCATCCTAGAGCCTTCATCCAGCAGCTGGTGGAAGTAGAAGCAGACACCCACAGCTAATCACTGAACTGAACTGGAATCCAGTTGCTGAGAAGGACGAGTGATGAGCAAAGGGGTCCAGACCAAGCTGGTGAAACCCATAGAAACAGCTGACTTGAACAAGGTGGAGCTCTTGGTCCCCAGACTGATAGCTGGGAAACCAGCATAGGACTGATCCAGACCCCATAAACATGGGTATCAGTGAGGAGACCTAGGAAATCTATGGGGCCTCTTGTAGTAGATCAGTACTTAACCCTAGCATAGGTGTGGATTTTGGGAGCCTATTCCATATAGAGAGATACTCCCTGAGCCTAGACACAAGGGGGTGAGACTAGGCCCTATCCCAAAGATATGACAGACTCTGAAGACCCCCATGGAAGGCCTCATCCTCTCTGGGGAGCAGATAGGGTATGGGATAGGTAGGGTGTTCGTTGGGGGGGGCAGGGAAGGAGGGGAGGGAGTGGGAACTGGGATTAACATGTAAAACAATCTTGTTTCTAATTCAAATTTTTAAAAAAGAAAAAAAAAAAGAACAAGCATTGAGTCTTTTGTGCCACATCTGTATTTTGCTGACTTCGTACATCCCATTTTATGCACTGGGCTTGCAGAGCTCTGTTCCTGTGAACACCCTTCTCATTTTTCTCTTTAGGCATGTGTCCTTTCCTCATAACGCCGTTTCTAGCCATGACTCCTTCAGAGTCTACACATACCTCCCTCACTCCATACACTGAGTGGTGCTGGGCCCATCTAGTTCTTATGTAAATGTGTGACCTGGGGCTAGAAGTCAGGGACAGGAGGTACTCTAATCTCTGTCCAACTAGCTAGTAATTACATTAATTTACACTATGTCCAAATCCCTCCTCTGACAAATGGAAACGCCAGCCGTAGTATTAGAATTGAAATCAAGCTGGAAGGAAAGAGTTAGAGCATTGAAAGGTTACTCTCCATCATCTAGATGACGTCATTGGTAAGGCCAGATTTACTCATGTGGCTCTGTTTTACTTAAAAAAACAAAACAAACAAACAAACAAAAAACCCCAGGTAAGTGTAAGAGGGAGCCAGAATGTGTCAAGAGAAAGTGAGGAATCAACTATTCAGAATCACAGCTGGAAAACAAACAAACAAACAAACAAAAGATGCTTAAGGCAGGCTCAGCTTCTGTAGAAAATGTTACTGTCTACACAGATGCACAGTGTCTGTGCAGGTATAGACTATAGAGTGCTGCCCATGCTGGTTGTCTGTGATGGGTGTGCAAATGTAAGAATGCATGTAAGCATTCATGTGTGTGTATCAGTCTAGGTTGCATGAACAAGTGTGTGCAGGAATGAATATTATATAAATAATCAGGGATATGCATTTGTATTTGTGTACTTATATATGTGTAGATTTCTATATCACCTTGTGTTTTTTTTTGCATGAGCTTGATTTCTAGAAAGATGCAAACTATTTTATTACATCTTCTAGAATTAAGTTAGTATTAGTATTTAAAAAATTGTGTATTTTTATTTCATTGCATTGACATTTTTGCCTGCATGTATGTCTGTATGGGGTGTCAGATCCTCTGGAACTGGAGTTACAGACAGTTGTGAGCTGTCATGTGGGTTCTGGGTATTAAACCTGGGTCCTCTGGAAGAATAGCCAGTGCTCTTAACCACTGAACCAGCTCTCCAGCCCTGTGTTTTTATTAAACCATCTATGTTTATCTTTAATAGAGTGTTTGTAGTCCTGCTTCCACTGAAGCCCTTTACTTCCTCTCATTTTTATAGGCAAAGAAGAAGTATATCTGATACAGTCTCCTGGTAATTCTTAAACTATCTCTTATGCACAGGGTTTTGTTGTTTGTTTTGTTCCTTTCCTCCAAACTGCACAGTGGACTGACTAGCTACCTTCAAAGGATTTTCGACCATCTCCTCTCATTCAACAGAACAATCAATTAGCTTTTGTGCAAATCAAGAAAAGGAAAAAGATCAAGAAGCCCGAATGGTTCAGACATTATCTAGCATCCAAGCCTTACATCCAAAGCCGTGCCAGATCAGTTGTGAGCAGGCACATTGCAGCTGGATCTGGCTTATGATCCCTTACTGCACTGTTTAAGAATGCAGCCCTAGAAGATCTGTGCAGACTATTTTCATCTGTTGCCTCATTGTAAGTTTGTTTGTTTTTGACTCTGGAGACGGTCTCATTTGCTCATGTTGGCCTTGTGTTCTTTGCAGTAGAAAATAACCTTGGACTCCTGACTCTTCTGCCTCACATGCCCAAATGCAGAATTACAGATTTGCACAACCACACATGGCCCTGTCTTTAACTTGAAGACATGCCTAGCAGCACTAGACACTTCAATGGCAATTGTTGTGAAGAGCAGGGAAGGTAGGTTAGCTGGGCAAAGTGTTGGCCATGTGCGTGCTAGGTTCATTAACAAAGATATTAAGCAAACACACATTTCCCGGTGCTTGGCTCCCAGCTTAGGAGAAGTCATCTGTGGAGTCTGTGAAGTCACTTTGCCTTTCTTTATTTAAGCTGTGACTGAGTTCAAAGCATGACATGCCTTTTGTCATCCTCCCCCAGTCCCAAAGTGACAGCTGAACAAGTGGTACCACCTGTCACCCTCCTTTGTCCATCACCATAGATGTGATATCTTCTCCCCCAAACTCCTGGCCTTCCCTACCATTTCCTTGCACAACACAGGTAGGAAAAAATGTGTTATACAGGATCAGGAACTTAATTTTCTTTGCCATGATCATGAGAGAATACAATTCCTCCTTCCTCATCGAGGGGGAGCAACACTTAGCATTACAGACACGTATCTATTACCCACATTCAATTCTTGCCTTATATCCTAATATTTAGCCCTCTTTTTTGTTCTCTTTTCTTCATGTTATTCTATACCCACATGTCCATATGTTATCGGCTAGATTCAGAATATGGTTTTTCATTTTTGATGGTGGCTACATGCATAAAAACACACTCAATAGTGAAGGTATAGAATCTGATATGAAGTCCACAGCTTCCATCCCAAATGCCTATTCTAACTTAAGTTGTTAAGTTTTGCAGTCTGATTAATTATGGTGTGTCATTTTGTGTTAATTTGCAATTTTTTTTAAATAACAAAATTTAAAGTTAAAAAATAGGTGGGAGAATAAGTTAGTCAATTTTTGTAGGAGTGCTGTGAGGGGAGACACAGGGTCATACATGACTTCTGGGACAAATTTGCAAATGGAATGCAGGAGGCTCAACTAGATTTGTACATTTTTGCTCGCTAATTACCACAGCCCTACACCAGTGGTCCCCAACAGTGCTTTGATCACTGGTTGTTGAGTAGGTCAGAGCCACCCACCTGTGAACTGCGGCGCCACACACGCTGGAGTAAGACGCATAGACGCCAGTGCCGTAAACGTGGTATTTGGGGTCCTGGCACCCTGCTGGACATTTCACCATGAACTCAGAATTGATGATCTTTCCAGCTTTGACATCACAGTTGATCTGAGGCACAGCTGGGAATACAAAATGAGGTCAAAATTTACCCCCTTGCGGTGTCAGCTTGTATATGAGGTGACACTGTTAGGTCATACGTATTCATTTACTTAATCTGTAAAAGTCTGACTCTGAATCGATCCTGTGTCCATCCCTTCCATAACGAGGGTAAAGACATAGCAAGGATCTTCCTCAGACCAAAGGAAGAGCCCATTGCATTTAACACACTAAAAGAAAAAAAAAGTAAAGGCTGACTCTTATTCTTGTTTGGACAACTGATTAACTGAAAATATTTCGGAGAAACGAGATACCTCCCGCCACCAAAATCTGACCTGGAATCAATGGAAGGTGGAAACACTGGTTTTGCAAATGCTCTGTGACTTTCCCAGGAAAAGAAACTCTTGAATGAGGCAGGAAAGGCATTCATTCCAGGGAAGACAAACAAGAGGAGTGTGGATTGTAGAGCCAAAGATAACTGGGATAAAGTGGCCTGGGCAGCAAAGGGGAGGAGAGAAGTGGCTACATGGGCAGGCTTGGGGGACTGAGGGGTTGTGTTCTGTGGGGGGTGTGGGAAGACATGGAAGGTCTTTGGACAAGGGAAGTTAAACTCAAAGTGACTTATTTGTTTGGGTCCTAGAGGATTTCTTTGGCTAGATGTTGAGTTGCTATAGGGCCCATCTTTTGCCTCTAAAGTTGAAAAGCTTGGTACTCCCCTTTGAGAGTCCAGGAGAGTGTATCTGTTCTTGTCCCCTTCCTCTTCTTTGTCACAGCTATAGGAAGACCTTGTGGTTCAGAAAGCTTGCCTGAGGGTAAGGGGCAAAACATGTTTTGCTGACAATGTCTGAAAAGGGGTTGGATGCTTCATCTCTGCAAAGACTTTTTCCTCAAAACAGAAAGGCTCCCCCAAGTCACAGCTTCATAAACTGTGGCTTGTACAGTTCTGTGAGTTCAAGGCCAGCCTGGTCTAGACAGTAAGATCTTTTCTCAAGAGAGAGAGAGAGAGAGAGAGAGAGAGAGAGAGAGAGAGAGAGAAACATGAAGTTGGGTGGTGGTGGAGAACCACTATGATTAAATTTTAATTTTACTATTGAGTGACTGTACGAATGCACATGTCAATGTATGTGTATATGTGTACATGAGGAGATCAGGAGAGGTATTGGATCCCTGGCATGATGGAGTTACAGGTGATTGTGAGCCACTCACTGTGAGTGCTGGGGACCAAATTCAGGTCCACAGGGTTGTTTTGCTGCAGCTGTGGGCAATGAAACACAAACTACAACAAAACCCAGTGGAGTTTATTGGGGAAAGGGAACAAAGGGGGGGGGTAGGTGTTGGCTAACCACGAACAGAGACTGAAGGAGAGGGGGGGAGGAAGGAGAAGGGGGAGTGGAAGGGGAAGGGGGGAACTTAGAGAGAGAGGGAAGGGGGGAGAGGCGAAGAAGAAGGGAGGGGAATAAGGGGATAAGGGGTGAACAGGTAGAAGGAGCTCGCTTAAAATGGGAAGCTTGCACATGCGTACAGTCCTTATGCAGCCAAGTAACACATAACGTAGTGAAAGACCCACTCGGCATGCTTCTGCAAGTCCCCTGCCCGCTGCCTCTTTGTCTTCCCCGCCTT